GAATGAACGAGTGAGCGAAAGAGTACAGAGATGAGCAAATGAACGAGTGAGTAGATGAGTAAAGAGACGAATGAGTGAACAGATGAATAAATGAACGAGTGAGCAAGTGAATGAACAAGTGACTGAACAGATGAATAAATGAACGAGTGAGTGAATGAGTACAGATGAACAAACGAATGAGTGCACAGACGAATGAACGAGTGAATGAGAGTATACGAGTGAGTGAATGAATGAAGAAACGAATGATTGAGTGAATGAGTGAACAGACGAATAAATAAATGAACGAGTGAGCAAGTGACTGAACAGATGAACGAATGAGTGAATGAGTACAGAGATGAACGAATGAGTGAACAGACAAACGAATGATTGAGTGAATGAGTGAACAAATGAACGAGTGACTGAGTGCACAGACGAACAAATGAATGAAAGAGTGAGCAAGTGAATGAACGAGTGAACAGGCAAACAAATGAAAGAACAAATGAGTGAGCAAATGAACAAGTGAGAGTAGATGAACGAGTGAGTGAACGAGCGCACAGACGAACAAATGAACACATTGAGTGAGTGAGGGTGAAGGAACAAGTGAGCGAGCGAATGAGTGCGAGAGCGAATGAACGAGTGAGCGAACAGACAAATGAGTGAACGAATGAACGAGTGAGCGAAAGAGAAAGTAAAAAACAAAGTGTCCGTGGCGCCTCTCGACTTTTAAACCTGTTTTTTTATGTGTTTGAAAAAATGACTGATGGCGGGAATTTGACGCAGTTTGTGAATAAATTAAGTTTATTGAGAATTATTTTACAAAGAAACACAAAACATCCCGAGTGTGTGTGAGTTATTTCAACGGGGGGGAAGGAAGAGTACTCAAGTAAAAGTACTGTTACTTCAAAATAATGTTACTCAAGCAGAAGTACAAAGTAGTGGATCCAAGAAAGTATTTGGTCTCATCTAGAACTTGAGCATTTTTGGTCTCGGTCTAGTCTCGGACGCTCGACAAGTGTGAACATATTTCACTACGGCCGGTGTAAGGTCAAAACTTTTGTGAAGTCATAGTTGACGCTTTGTGCACCTTGTTCCACCTTTAAAATGCCTCAAAAATAAAAGAATCAATCCATCTTTACTGACAATTCACCTAATTAGGACATACAGATACAAACAAAAAAGGGGAACTTTAATGTACAGGTGACAGGAGGTCCAAAAAACTGTCTGGCTCCACTCCACCCTCCCATGATGCACCTGCACACGTCTTACATGAGGAACCATAGACCACAAAATAATACACAAATTAAACATGACTTAAGTAAACTTATGATTAACATTAGTACAGAAGCCGAGAGGGGTCAAAACAAACGCAAACGCCGCAACAAATACAAATGCAACAACACAACAAAAAGCCACAACACACCAAAAAAAGCCACAATGGAAATGTGTTGTGTTTAATGTGTTGTGGCTTTTTAATGTGTTGTGGCATTTGCGTTTGTGTTGTGGCGTTTGTATTTGTTGCGGCGTTTGCATTAAAATAGAGTCCTGCGGTCATTTCCGTTGTGGCTTTTTTTGGTGTGTTGTGGCTTTTTAATGTGTTGTGGCTTTTTGATGTGTTGTGGCTTTTTGATGTGTTGTGGCTTTTTAATGTGTTGCGGCATTTGCGTTTGTGTTGTGGCGATTTGTATTTGTTGCGGCGTTTGCATTAAAATAGATTCCCGCAGTCACAAATACAAATGCGACAACACAACAAAAAGCCACAACAAACCAAAAAAAGCCACAATGGAAATGACCGCGGGATTCTATTTTAATGCAAATGCCGCAACAAATACAAACAACACAACGCAAACGCCGCAACACATTAAAAAGCCACAACAAACCAAAAAAAGCCACAATGGAAGTGACCGCGGGACTCTATTTTCCGACGGACCGATTAAGCGACAAGTGAAGAAGATGAACTACAATGTGAAAAGTAAAGGAACGGAGAAGTTGGAAACGTAAGTAAAATTAATTTATTGTTTTCTCATTATTCATTTCACGTTGTAGTTCTTCTTCCTCACTTGCCGCTTGATCGGTCCGTTGGAAAATAGAGTCCTGCGGTCACTTCCGTTGTGGCTTTTTAATGTGTTGCGTCTTTTGCGTTTGTGTTGTGGAGTTTGTATTTGTTGTGGCGTTTGCATTAAAATCGAGTCCCGCGGTCATTTCCGTTGTGGCTTTTTTTGGTTTGTTGTGGCTTTTTGTTGTGTTGTCGCATTTGTATTTGTTGCGGCGTTTGCGTTTGTTGTGACCCCTCTCGGCTTCCGTAGTTTTCCGCTGTTAGGATCCAACAACCACACAATTACGATGTCCGAATCCCAAAACTAAAATATGACAATATCAGAACCAGAAACAAAAGTGATATGGTTCAAAAGACTTGAAAAGATCGACTTTGACAATAGACACATCCCACTGGGAAAACAAACATGGAGGTTTAATGCTCACTTTTTCGGAAAATCCTTCCCAGTGTGAAGTCCGAAATTCTTGATGCGTATAAACTCAGATACCACCACGATAACGAGTCAGATGTTAAATTTTTCAGTTTATTGAAAAAAAAAAAAGTGCTTTTACATTTACAACAAAATGTCTTGATTTTCATTTTGAACAGATAAATAACATGATTAGTAAATACATCTCAAACAAACTATGACAAAGAAACTATGTTAAAAAGTATTAAAAAGTTAAAGTTACATTGAAATTTTAGCTTATTTAAAACTAATCATCTAAACAATAATAAAAACATTAGTAACACTGTAAAGACACGACGCAAAACTGAAACCGGAGTCTCATTTGAACAGGGTTTATACTCAAAACAAATCACATATGCAGGACAAACTTTGACTTTTCCTGAAAATTTTTAGATTTTCTTAAAGACATATTATGCAACGGCGTCTCAAAATTAAACTTTTTAGTATTGAGCATTGAGTATTGAGTGAGTAGAATTTTGCAGAATACGTCTCCTTTTACATTTAGAAATAGTTTAAAGTCTCGAAATTAAGTCTTGAAATGATAATATTCAAAATTCTGTTCTAAATTTTTGTTTGGTCCTGTTTTTAGAACTGGTCCAAACCAAACTCCAGATCAAATTAACTCCAAATCTAAAAAAAATTTACCACAAAATGAACCAGGACTAAACGAGGATTGAATCGGGACCAAACGAGAACTAAACCAAGACTCCACTGGAAAAAAAATCTGGATATTTGACCAGAAAAAACAGATTGGCAGCATTTGGCAAAAGTCTTTGGGCTTTGTTTATGAAATATCATTTGTTTCAGTCAAAATTCAGAGTAAGATTCACAGTGAAAACCCAAGTCTGTCGTCTTTAGTTCTGTGTCTGTGGTCTGGTTTAGACTTCTCTTTGGAGTTACTGTGCGTTAGTTTATTTTACTCTACATATTACTCTGATTTCTGATTAATGTTCTAATGTTTCCTCACCAAAAACAGACTGGGAGTTTTGTTTTGTTTCATTCACACATGTTTAACACACAAACCTGCACATTTAGGGACCAGGGGCCTTATTTATAAAGCTCGTTACGCTCACATCTTTGCGTCGTCTTTATGCCACCTGCAGGATTTATGAAACTCGTCCCAAACGCAGCGCTTTGCTTAACTCTACATCAGGGGTCTCCAACCTGTAGCTCGGGAGAAACCAGTAGCTCTCCACCCAACAGATTTCTGAATTATATGTAATGCACTTAATAATTAAAATCTGATTAACTACCTTTGTAAATGTATAATTTTTATACCTAAATTGTGCACTAATAAATGAATAATGGTTTATGTTTAATAGGCATCTAAATGTATCCCGTCCAGAGCAACCCATAGCTCTTCTTGTTTCTCCATTTCTTGTGGCAACTAAAATGAGTAGTTCTCTGGTCTTTTCGTTTCATGAAGGTACCTCACCAGAGGAAAAAGGTGAGATAAACACCAACTCGGGACCTCCTGTAAACTCTACGCAAAGTCTGGAGACACGGGGAAAAAGTGACACTCGTGGAGAGGAGCAGAAGTGAAGAGAGTTTGAGGAAGAGTTTGATCAGGAACTTAACAGGAAATCCACATATATAAAAGAATTACCTTCAGATTTTAAGTATTTGGTTTGCCAAAACAGGCAGAAGGGCTGTTTATTTCACTCATTATTCTCCACAATATTATACTTTTGAAACTCGTGCACGAGCGCGGCCACGTTCCCAGTGCAGCGCAGAGTCTCCCACAGTCCACACCGCGACCACAGACTTCTATAAAACACAGACTGTGACCAACACAGAGGACGAAATAATGACCAGAGCTCAGACAAAACTCTTCTAGGGTCAAAATGATAATTTGAACCCTGGTCTGCGGTAGACTGATTCATCAGACGGTTTCATTTCGTAGAAACCATCTGATCTCGCAGTGTTAGGATTCGTTCGCTCGACGGTAGGCAGGTACTTTTTAAAATTTAACCAATCGCTGCTATTTGGTCATGAAGGAAGAAGGACAATAACATCTTTCCCTTTGATAAAATTCACCAAACATTCTCTCTGTTCCGGCTTTAAATCCTCGATCTCGGGAATCGTTGCCAACACAGAATGTCTGTCTCTTCGCTGATTGGCTGGTGCCCGAACTCACACTTCCGGGGTTTTTGTAAACTGTCTAGTGTTTTCTGATTCCTGATCTAGTTCCTGGAGAGAAATAAAATTGAGCGGAGGAACTAAGTTGGAGACCCCTGATGTAAAGACTAATTTTTCTATTAATCAACTAATCTATTGACAATTTGATGAATTGGTTAATTAAATTATAACTTTTTATAGAACCATTTGCTACAAAAGATTCATCCTGTTGTTTTTATTAGTTAGACCAGAGTTGGGCAAACATTTTGAGGGCTCTAAGATATGACGGAGCAAATGGATGGAGTTTTTTGGTAATCCACCTCATAAGAGAAAAAAATATTCCACGTTACTAAAATATTCCATAACTCAAAAGCAAAAGCATAAAGCAACCAAATATCTGTCTTTCAAGTCCCACAGTATTTACAATTTATTGAAATGACACTGAAAATTATTATTATTATTCAAGTTTGGCGGGCAGGATTAAAGAGATTAAAGGGCCGTGGAAGTGTATTTTGTCTTGTAGGAAGGAACGGAAAGAAAACAGCTAAAAGAAAACATCGAAGACACCTCACCTTGCACATTTTAGTGTTCGGTGCTTCAAAACGGCAAATTTCAAACGTGTGAATGAAGCAAAACATGAGTCCAGGTCTGTTTTTGATGAGGTAACAACATTAGAACACGGGTTAAAGCTCACAAGAGTCAGTGTTGTGTGATGCAGGAGCTTCGCGGTTGTTCTCCTGTCGTCCAGTTATTGTCTCGGGTCTTCGGGTGTTTGGGGTTGGTTAGTTTTTCTTGTCGGCGTCGCCCTGCGTCTGCTCTGCGCCGGCCCCGTCTGTGGTGAGCGCCGGTTTGGAGGTGAGGGTGATGGGGACCACGCGCTCTTTGCCTCCCTCCAGCGCTTTGTTCTGCGGCGCCGTGATCTGAAGACGACCCCCGACCAGAGAACAGCTCACGGACTCCGGGTTCACACCCTGAGGAAGGTCGAACTCCTGCCGGAACTCCTGACACCTGAAACACCAGACAGACAAGTCACGCTTCAACTCTAACAACTACTACTGCTACTACTACTATACTGATACTGCTACTACTACTACTACTACTACTGCTACTACTACTACTACTACTACTACTACTACTACTACTACTGCTACTGCTACTACTACTACTACTACTACTACTACTACTACTGTACTATACTACTACTACTACTACTACTACTGCTACTACTACTACTACTACTACTGCTACTACTACTACTACTACTACTGCTACTACTACTACTACTACTACTACTACTACTACTACTACTACTGCTACTGCTACTACTACTACTACTACTACTACTACTACTACTACTACTGATACTGATACTACTACTACTACTACTACTACTACTACTACTACTACTACTGCTACTACTACTGCTACTACTACTACTACTACTGATACTACTACTACTACTACTACTGATACTGATACTGATACTACTACTACTACTACTACTACTACTGCTACTACTACTACTACTACTACTGATACTGCTACTACTACTACTGCTACTACTACTACTACTACTGATACTACTACTACTACTACTACTACTACTACTACTACTACTACTACTACCACTACTACTACTAGTTCTACTACTGCTACAAATACTGCTGTGAGCCTCATCATTTTGGTCTTAAATGTTTGTATTAACTCGCTCTACAAAAGAGTCGTGGTTTTAAGTTTTGTTTCTGCAAAACGTAAACAAATGTGCTCAAAGCTGTTGTGGAGAGGGAACGATTACAGACGCAGAAACCACGTGTCTGGACGCAAATCGTTTTCGATACGGTGATACGAGGATTCGTTTCAGCGTAAACATCGTCTTAGTCCACTTCTTTTATACAGTCTATGGTTGTCAGAAAAATAACGTAACAAAATATACCCAAAAAAACACTTTGAACGATATCGATGCTCTATCACAATACGATATTTCGATATTTCTCCCTGTGGGTCCGGCGTCTTACCTGTACGAGTAGGAGCCCTTCCCGTCGTCCTGCTTCTTCTCAGTTTTCCCGCTCACTCGGAGTTTGCGGCCGACCTGTTTGACTGACAGCTCTTCCGGAGAGAAATCCGACGTGTCCAGGCTCAGGGCGAAGGCGCTGTCGTTGTCTTTGGCCAGATTCTCCACGGCGACGGGCCTGAAGGTGGCGCCAGAGGAGGACGGGAGCGCGTGGTCGATCTGCTCGAAGATGCGCTGGTGCAGTCGCTCCATGTACTCCATGTTGTGACGCATTTCCTGAAGGTGAAGGAAACAAACGCACCCTGAGCAACAGAACTGAACCAGGACTAAAACAAAACTAAACCAGGACTAAACCAAGACTGAACCAGGACTGAATCAGGACTAAACCAGGATTAAAACAGGACTGAACCAGGACTAAAACAGGACTAAATCGAGACTAAACCAACACTAAACAAGGACTAAATGAGAAATAAACCCAAGACAAAACCAGGACTAAACCAGGTCTAAATCAAGACTAAACCAGGACTAAACCAGGACTGAACCAGGATGGAACCAGGACTAAAACAAGATTGAACCAGGACTGAACCTGGACTAAATCGAGACTAAACCAAGACTCAACAAGGACTAAAGGAGAAATAAACCCAAAGCTGAACCAGGACTAAACCAGGTCTAAACCAGGACTGAACCAGGACTAAACCAGGACTAAACCAGGACTGAACCAGGTCTAAACCAGGACTGAACCAGGACTAAACCAGGATTGACCCAAGATTGAACCAGGACTGAACCTTGACTAAATCGAGACTAAACCAAGACTAAATCAAGACTATTCCAGGACTAAACCAAAAGTAAACCCAATACAGAACCAGGACTAGACCAGGACTAAACTAGGAGCGAAACAGGGCAGAAACAAGACTGAACCAGGACTGAACCAGGACTAAATTAAGACTAAACGAGAAGTAAATCCAAGACAGAACCAGGATTAACTCAAGACTAAAACAGGACTAAATCTGAAGTAAACCCAGGACTGAACTAGGACTAAAACAAGACTAAACAACACAGAACCAGGACTGAACCAGAACTAGATCAGGACTAAACCCAGACTGCAGTACCTGACCCGTACCTCTAGGTGGCGCAGCACGTCTTGCTCCATGTTGTAGAAGAGCGGGCGCGTCTCGGGCCAGAGGCTGCGGGCGAGCGGCCACAGGGGGTCCGCGAGGGGCGAGTGGAACCGGGGGCACAGCATGATGCAAGGAAAAAAAAATAAAAATCCTCCGAGGTCCGAGGAAAGAAAAAAAAATGTCCGAGGATAAAGTTCCAGACGCGGCTTTTGTAATCGTTTGTTTTGACGCTTTTCTCCGCGCGTCGTCGGTTCCGTTCGCGTGTCTTTCGCGTGTGTTTCGCTTCTCGTCGCTCGTCCAGGGGAGCTCCGGGGCCGATGCACTGACGCCCTGCCCGCCTCTGGAGCTTTTATAGCCGCCGCAGCCCCTCCCTCCGCCGGGGGGGAAGGTTCCAGCGCATTCTCCGGCGCTGAGTCCGGAGAAGACGCGACAGATCCGGGCGTTTCCACGGAGCGCGGACGGACTGACGCGAAGGAAATCTGAGGAAATCCGTGATGTTTGGTTCTAAAATAAAAGAGATCAGACGTGTTTACGGTTTTACTCCCAGTTTTGAGCCCCGTGTCCCCAAAATGAGTGATTTGGTCCGTTTTTGTTTTTTTTCACAACAAACGTCCCAATTTTTGACCGATCTGATCCCTGATAACCGCAAAAAGAGGATTAAACCAGGACTAAACCAGGACTAAACCAGGACTAAACCAGGACTAAACCAGGACTAAACCAGGACTAAACCAGGACTAAACCAGGACTAAACCAGGAACTAAACCAGGACTAAACAGGACAAACCAGGACTGAACCAGGACTAAACCAGGACTAACCAGGACTAAACCAGGACTAAACCAGGACTAAACCAGGACTAAACCAGGACTGAACCAGGACTAAACCAGGACTGAACCAGGACTAAAACCAGGACTAACCAGGACTAAACCAGGACTAAACCAGACTGAAACCAGGACTGAACCAGGACTAAACCAGGTCTAAACCAGGACTAAACCAGGACTAAACCAGGACTAAACCAGGTCTAAACCAGGACTAAACCAGGACTGAACCAGGACTAAACCAGGACTGAACCAGGACTAAAAACCAGGACTAAACCAGGACTAAACCAGGACTAAAACCAGGAAAACCAGGACTGAACCAGGACTAAACCAGGACTGAAACCAGGTCTAAACCAGGTCTAAACCAGGACTGAACCAGGACTGAACCAGGTCTAAACCAGGACTGAACCAGGACTGAACCAGGACTAAAGCAGGACCAAAACAAGACTAAACCAGGACTGAACCAGGTCTAAACCAAGACTGAACCAGGACTAAACCGGGACTAAACCGGGACTAAACCGGGACTAAACCAGGACTGAACCAGGACTAAACCAGGACTGAACCAGGACTAAACCAGGACTAAACCAGGACTGAACCAGGACTAAACCAGGACTAAACCAGGACTGAACCAGGACTAAACCAGGACTGAACCAGGTCTAAACCAGGTCTAAACCAGGACTGAACCAGGACTGAACCAGGTCTAAACCAGGACTGAACCAGAACTGAACCAGGACTGAACCAGGACTAAAGCAGGACCAAAACAAGACTAAACCAGGACTGAACCAGGTCTAAACCAAGACTGAACCGGGACTAAACCGGGTCTAAACCGGGACTGAACCGGGTCTAAACCAGAAAATACAGAAAAGTTGCTTAAAAACGACCAAAACACAAAGAAACTGTGACTATATTGACTCAAACGTGTAATAATTTCACAATTTTATTATTATCAACCACAACAAACCGGAGATGTTCCAGTTTTTTATTTTGAATATCTGGTCACCATATTCTAAAATAAAGTTAAATGGTTAAATAAAGTTATAATGGAAAAGTTTTGGTTATTTCAGCAGCGTGTCTTTGTTTGTGACTGTAGAAAAAAAAAAAAAATCTAATCAGAAAGGAAACAGGTCTAAAAAGATCTAAAAGTGTTACTGTTTCTTTTAAGTTGATTTGTGTTTATTTTGGGTTTCCTGATTTCACAATGGACTCTGTGTCCGTGTTTATCCGGTCTTATTCCGAGATTATTCTGAGATTATTCCCAATTTATTGCGAGTTTATTCCTAGTTTATAGCAAGTTTATTTTCAGTTTATTCCCAGTTTATTCCGAGTTTATTATGAGTTTATTCCCAATTTATTGTGAGTTTATTCCCAGTTTATTGTGATTTTATTCCCAGTTTATTGTGATTTTATTCCCAGTTTATTATGGGTTTATTCCCAATTTACCGTGAGTTTATTCCCAGTTTATTGTGATTTTATTCCCAGTTTATTATGAGTTTATTCCTGGTTTATTCTCAGTTTATTGTGAGTTTATTCCCAGTTTATAGCGAGTTTATTTTCAGTTTATTCCCAGTTTATTATGAGTTTATTCCCAATTTATTGTGAGTTTATTCCCAGTTTATTATGAGTTTATTCACAATTTATTGTAAATTTATTCCCAGTTTATTGTGATTTTATTCCCAGTTTATTGTGATTTTATTCCCAGTTTATTGCGAGTGTATTCCCAGTTTATTATGAATTTATTCCCAGTTTATTATGAGTTTATTCCCAGTTTCTTATGAGTTTATTCCCAGTTATTGTGAGTTTATTCCCAGTTTATTATGAGTTTATTCCCAGTTTCTTATGAGTTTATTCCCAGTTTATTATGAATTTATTCCCAGTTTGTTATGAGTTTATTCCCAGTTTATTGTGAGTTTATTCCCAGTTTATTCTGATTTTATTCCCAGTTTATTGCGAGTGTATTCCCAGTTTCTTCCGAGTTTATTCTGAGTTTATTCCGTGCGTCAGAGGTCAGGTATGAGCTGTGGTCACTGTGACAAAGAGTTTATTAAAGACGATGAGAGAAGAGTCTGAAATAGAGCCGAGCGCGGAGGGAATGTGGCAGCAGCTCGACAGCTGACCGCCCCCGACCCCCCCACACTGACCTCACCGGCTCCTGTCACTGCCGTCACTGCTCCTGTCACTGTCACTGCTCCTGTCACTGCTCCTGTCACTGTCACTGCTCCTGTCACTGCTCCTGTCATTTCATTATATTTAGTCGCAGTTCCATTATTTTTCCTGAGTGACGCTGACATGATTTTAAAAAGGTCAATGACGTGTTAACTGTGAACAGATGATTTAGATCACCATGTCACCGACCAACGCACTGACGTGTTTTTTAAGTTTTTGTTTTGTTTTTGACACGCTCCCTATGCAAAGTCACTCCCCCTTCAGAGTGCTGCATCCTGCTAATGAAACTGTTTGTGACGTAGTGTTGTGAATCGTGTTTTTGTGTATTTATGTCCGGTGAATACTTCCACTTTAAGCATTCAGAGCAGCGTAACAGTGCAGCGCCCCCTTATGGAAGTTTGGACTCTTTAAATGACAAATGTCAATATTCCAAATATACTTTGTACTATGACGCTCATGTCAGATGTGCGTGTTCGGAAGTGTTTACAGTTTCCGTAGTGTAGTGGTTATCACGTTCGCCTCACACGCGAAAGGTCCCCGGTTCGAAACCGGGCGGAAACAACTTTTCGTTTCCAGGATCACTGTTGTCATCACAAACTCGACATTCAGATTCTGCTGATTCTGGGTTTTACGACAGTGAGTCCCGCTCCTCCTACAGCACCTGTGCTAGAAATAATAGTAAACAGAACAGTATTATTGTTACTTCTATTTCAACTACAAGTAGAAGTACAACTACAAGTAGAACTACAGCGGCCACTGTGAGCACGTTTATCTCTCGCTGTAACTTGGGGTTTATATTCTTCTGTTAAACTCGTTCAGGAGCTGATAAATAATAAATAAATAATAAATAAATAAATAATTACAGATTTGTAAAACATAATTCCTTTTACACACTTTACTTTGTTTAATTTCTAATAATTAAATTCAGAAAAACAAAAACAAAATAGTTGTTTCAAGAAAACGTTGAGTGTTTCCGCCCGGTTTCGAACCGGGGACCTTTCGCGTGTTAGGCGAACGTGATAACCACTACACTACGGAAACGGTGATCTTATGAACGAACGCCTTTCAAAATAAATGACTGCGTGTTTCACACGCATAATCACATAAAGGTTTAAAATAAATCCATGCACAAAAGTGAAACAGAAGGGCCCGATGTTTCAGCCAGAGCAATAATAAACACCACTCCACCACTTCATCTGTGGTGTGGTCTGTTAAAAATTAAACTTGTATTGTAAAAGTCTTCACGGTTTCCGTAGTGTAGTGGTTATCACGTTCGCCTCACACGCGAAAGGTCCCCGGTTCGAAACCGGGCGGAAACAATGAACTTTTTCTTGAAATAGGCAGTTTCACCGCATGAAGAACCATGAACAGCCGCATCTTTCCACAGTCAAAGATCCTCCATAGAGCGTCCTGTTCCTGAGTGGTGCCTTTCGCTTTGGCGTTGACTTTTTAAATTCGTAACCGAGGTTGAGCGAGGGATCGGGATTTTGTTTTGTCGTCGCTCCACATACAAAATGTTCACTGTAAACTCGGGATGATTTCTTCGGCAGCCAAAGGTTTCCTTTTTGGTCCTTCCTGTGGATCAATCCTGCCCATCGCCTTCACCTTCTGTCCTGTGAAGGTTCATGTAGATCGTGCACTGTCCCTGTGTCATAAATAAACTAAATAAATAAAAATTTAATAAATAAAACTATCGCTAACTTTAATCTAAACTTCGTGTCTTTACAGTCTCCCAGTATTTGGCTTTTGTATTACAGTTGCAGCATTTGTCCTGTAGGAGGAGGCAGAAACCACGGAATAAAGAATGACAAGAAGATCTCCTTAATCTGCTGAATGTATCTGTTAAAGTCTAAAGTCTACAATAACAAAGGAAATATCACAGACAATATGTAACCTATATTAATTTTATTAATTAATTTATCGATTCTACATGAATACTAAGTAATATATGAATTTAGTTTTGAATTTTGTTCTTATTTTTTAACCACATTTCGTCATGTCTGAGTTTTTTTTTTTTTCTTTCTAAAATAAGGCACATGTGCCCACATTTTCCTTATCCTTTCCTTTATCATTAATTTGCATCAGATTTTATCCCGATACAGATGTAATGTAGAGGTCGTGGTGCAAAGTACCCGAGGTTGAAATTACTCTGAATCTGAATCATCCCTTTAAGTGCGGTATAAAAATAAAAATGACTTGACTTACAGTTTTATTTTGAGAAAAGTCTTAGAAATTTGGTAACATAGGACTGAACATAGGGCCCAATTTTCTACATTTTCAGTAAAAATAATAAGGGAACTTAGGGCTGTAGGAACATAAGGCTGACCCCCATCCATCTAAACCAGCAACGATTT